TTTGTTGGGAACTTACATGATCTGATTTTATGTTCCACAGACACCTAATGTTCAGAAGTCTTTTTATAACTATGTGACTATGAATATAACATTTAACACTCCTTCCAGTTTTGAAAAGGAAAAAGTCACTATAATTAACATTTAAAATGCCATCTTTCAAATGACAACAGGAACATCATGGTTCCATTCATTTCTGGTAGAAAGTTTGCTTGCCCAAATGAAGGCCAAAGTCAACTCCAGCCATACCCTGTCCTCACTATCCATTGTCTTGAACAAGGCAGTCCCTACCCTGACCACACCTTATGTAACCCCCTTCCCGGGTCCAGGAAGGTCATTAAGTTTTCTGGAGCAACTTGCCTTTTCACATCTTGTGCCTTCTCTGGCAACATTTCCAGACTACTGAGGGCTAAGTGGTCCCTGCACACCTGAGCCTGAACCTGCCCTCCTACCAGTCACAGTTCTTCTGATAGCACCTGACTTCCTACCGGGTCACAGGTGCTTCAGGGGTAGACAGTGTCATATATACCGTCCCACCGTCCACAGACTCACACAGTGAACAGTTAGGTGATAGATACTCTATAAACATTTCATGTGGTGAATTTGAAGGTCATCAAGTATAATATTTCCAGGTGGCTTATGTGAAAAGTAAGTGATTCTTAGTATGAAGAGAATGTAAATTTGTTCTTGGGAATAATAAAATCCATTTAGGTGGACTTTATTATTAGAAGAAATGAAGTGATGGTTCTATTTTCATTTTTACATGTCAGCTCAAAAACCTCTTGGAGAGGTGGGGTGGGAACGCCTTTTCTGAGCTCTTCCACCAGCACTAGACCGTGCAGAACCCAGCCTGGACTGCCGGGCAGAGGTGGTCATGGCCAAGTGTAGATGGTACTTGAACCATGAGACCAGACATGGTCACTAGAACATGGACATAGAGGTGGGGTCTGAGTAGAGGCCCTTCCAGGGTTCAGGGTCAGGAAACAGAAAGTAGCAGCAATATGACCAGCTCAATGCCTGGGGGGACATTTCAGTGTCCTTCCATCTCTACAGTGTAAGCACTCCCATAACCTTTGTTACACAAATCATTTTCTTAGAAACCAAGAGGGTAGAGGGCGAGGGAGAATAAGAGGGCCCAGGGAAAGTAAGAAGGTCCAATTATCAATGGATGGAAGTGGAGTTGCAGCTACAGGGGCTGATGGGGAGGCAGATACATGCCACTGCTGATAGGGGGGTCTCTAGATGGGGGGGGGGCACAAAGGCCTGTCACCCTGGTGACTCCTTCCTCACAACTCCAGTGAATAAAGAGCAAGAGCTCATGTCCATCACTCCTTTTTAAAGGTTCATAAAAATAGCTGCTCAGCTCCACCCCTCACCCAGCCCCCTTGCTCAGGATGTCACGGGTTGGGACTCAGACCATGGCACAAGGCAGGCATCCTCTCCTCTGACTTGGGCAGTGCCTGGCATCAGGGGTGGAGTTCAGCCCTTCCTTGCACCAGCCACTCCAAGGGCCTGGGGGTGCAGAGCTCAGCTGCTGGAGTTGCTCCAACAGCCAGACCCTGTACTTACACTGGGTTTGTGTCACAGCTGAGGATCCCTGAGCTTGGAAAATCCTGATCTTTGGTAATGAACTGCAAGTACACCTGTGCAACCTCTGTCCAGAGGCAGCATCATCTACGTTATACTGGACAGTGAACAAATCTGCCTCGTCCCCCCAGGGAGACACTATCTCTCTCTTCCAAGGCTGTTTGCCGTCCAAACCTCCTTAAAAAGGTAATTCAGGACAAAAAGCTACCACCTCCACTCATAAGAGACCTGCGAATAACTATTGTTCCAACAAGAGTCAAAATTATTAAGCAGTATATTTTGGAGAATGTCTAAGAAAGTCCTAGGTTCTGTTTCACTTTGAAGTTCAAAACTGTAATTATTTAAAAAATCTAAATTGTTGGGCCTCCCTGGTGGTGCAGGCGGTTGAGCGCAGCACTGTGAAGCTGTCCACAGCCTCTGCAGCATGAGTTTGATCCCCAGCCAGGGAGATACCCACATGGCACAGCAGACCTCTCCTGTCTCACCCGCTGCTCCCCTCAGCAGTGTATTTCGTCAGTCTGCCTGATCTGCTCCTTGCTCTGTCTCTGGTGAATCCTTTCACCCTCCCACGCATCTGGTCTGTACCCCAGTTCTTATACAAATAAAATAAATCTTAAAAAAAAAAAAACCTAAATTGTTTCTTTGAGTAGGTAATATGTAATATGGTACAAAATTCAAAAGATAAAATAGGACTCTTCTTTATGAACAAAAGATGGCACAAAAGTGGTTTCTTATTTATTGGGAGAAGGGAACATATTTCTATTAGACTTATTTTTCTTGAGTCCTGGTTAATTCTGCCTTTTAATCAATTTCTGAATGACTAAAATCTCTAAATAGGTCTTAAAAACCCAAGTTCAGCTCTAGGGGATATAAGTAATGACTTCCATTTTACTGGTGTCTTACCAATTTTCTGCTTGAGGCCCTAAATAAACCACATCCAGTCTACACACGCAAGTCCAGATGAGAAAGCTAAGGGTCTACACCAGCATAAAAAGTGAACAGCATTAACCTTTAACCCAGAGCTGCCTGAGATTAGTCTTCAGTACAAATTCTCTTATCTGTTCCATCTGCCAGGTACACAAGTAGCCTCGAATCAATGATGAATAGCTCTGCTTACACTGTCTTTTTAGAAGCTAATGTTACTGCATAGCAACCAGCTGAGGACATATCATAGGAAGCACTTGATAATTCTTATTGATCAGCTATGCCATTAGAAACATTTACCAATATTCAAGTTCTAAATAAACACAATAAACACATGGTTTTCCTCTCTCCCTCCTGCCTTCCCTACTGAACGCCTACCACCTCACCCATTGTTCTAAGCACTGGGTATACAGTAGTGAAAAAACACACCAAAGTCTCTGCCCTTGAGGAGCTTACTCTCTACTAGGGGGAAAAAGATATATGAAAAAAAAAAGCAGAGAGAGATGAGATATAGTAGTAGTGGGAATCTTTTTTATACAAGAGTGTCTGGGAAAGACTCGTTGAAAACAAAAAGTTTGGCTAAATGGCCCTTCTTATTCCTTCCTACCAAAATAGATGACATTTACTTTAGTAAAGTCTGGTTAAATTAAAAGGAATGCCTGCAAATTGCACGTGTTCCCAAATTATGATTCAATGAATACAAAAATTTAAATTTTTAGGAGCACATTTACAGCTTATAATAAAGATAGGGTACGGCTTTCCAAATAACTAACTTACATTCCATCCTTAGGTTTAAACAAGAAGAGAACAGAAGCCAGGAGGCCCCCACCCTGTGGAGAGCACTGAGTCAGCTTGCAGAACATCCTCTGATGTTCTGGACACCAAATAGGCAGACCCGAGACTCACACTCGGTACTTTGGCTCGAAATAAAACATATACATGGGGCTGCAGTTGTTTCAATGCACACATGGCTGCAGTGGTTTCGGCCTATTATTTCATACTGAATCTCCCCCCTGTGTCATTTCTCAGGAAATTTAAGTGCAGAAACTAAAGCCAAATATAATGCCTGTCTCTGTGTAACCAGAAAGTATTTTTTTTTCTCTGACGTGCTACCTAAGAGGCTTTGGGCTCTCTAGGACACGCTCACAGGGATGTGTGTTCATGGTGTTGCCGAAGTCAGATCTGCGGTGATTCAAGGATCATATGGCCTCGTGTCTTTATTTTACCTATTGGGACATAGAGCCATCAAGAGACAGGAACTTGCCTGAGATCACAGAGCTGCTTGGTGGCAATGGCGGGAGTTGAACCAGAGTGTATAACCTGGGTGTGTCCCTGACGTTTTCTGATGACCAACTTGGGGTGTCTGAAAATTGGGGATTTAGTGTACTTGCGTAGAGTTTTCAGAGGATTAAGGGCTCTCTCTCTCTGAGATACGCACAGCAGCCTTTTGTGACCTATGCCGTGCTCAGGGCCGCCTCCCTTGATCTGTCCACCCTTCCCTGTATGTGACGGCTCTTTCTTCTAAAAAAATCCACACTTAGTCAAAGAAGCAGCTGTGGACCCCACAAGCCTTATGCCTCCTTACCCCATGTATTTAGGGGTCTTTGGGCTGCCTGGAGTCTCCTTCAGCGTAGAGGGTAAATGACTTCAGATGGCATTGCTGGACCTCTACAACCTAAGACACTTGAAATGAATTGTTTTCTAGGGATGAGGCTGGTCACCCACGAAATGCAGAGTAAAGGTACAAAGCAGATTCACGATCTTGTTTCTCTTCCCTCTCTCCTCCTACAACCCTCAACCCCAATCTGAGCCACCCAGACAAGCCCTCAGTTCCAGGAACCTATTTCTCAAACTCACAAAAGCCACTCTTCATCCTCTTTTCTCCTCCCTTAGGCATGCCCTGGCTCCAGAAAAACAGGTCAGTATGTTTCATACCTAGACGCAACTCTTGTAAACGCCAAGGGGGTGGGGCGCTGTTAATAGAAATCAACCTCAAATTGCCAACTTCTTAGATGGGGGTATTTTTCTGCCTGGAGACTGTCCAATATTCTTATTTCTCACCACACGCACACCATCATACCATGTGCCGCCAGAGTCCAGTGACATGGCACCCCAATCTTATAAGATTTCCAGCTTTCCTTTAACTAATAACTGTTGGGACAAGGTTGCTTTATGGTTGGAGTCCCTTGTTTCAGAGGAAAAGTACAAAGCATGGAGCTCAAAAGTGTATTTTCACCCCTCTCACTTCTACACTGAGTCCTCTTCCTGGGACCAGGAGCCCCAGTGAACACCCAAAGGTCTGTGCACCCCTTGTTTTGGGGAGACTGCCTCGCTCTTGAGTTTAGTCTGATCCCAAAGTAGAGAGATTCAGTGATTCCAGGGCTTTGCTCATCACCCATACATGACTTGGTGTGGAGTCCTGGGGGAGGGACAGGCCCAGGCAAGCGCTGAGTGTGTCCTGCCTCTAAGCCAGGACATCGGGGCCACTTTACCTTTGCAGGTGAAGCATTTGATGTGGAAATGTTTGGTCTGGACCCGGAGCACTTCGCCCTTGCAAGGCTCCCCACATTTGTGGCAGTGGATGACGGGCTTCTCAGAAGGATGGTGAGGGTCCTGGGGGTGCGCCACTGAAAGAAAAACAGCAAAAGATCCACGTGAGCAGAAAGCATTCCTCCAGGGGGTCACGGGCCATGCACACACAGCTCCATCACTTTGATGTCCAATGAGCCACATGCTGATTCGGCAGCGAACTGAGCCCTTCTCCCTGGGCCATGATCCTGGGGAAACGCAGCTAAGTAACAAGGCTGGGGCTTCAACAGACCAGTGGGGAAAACACAGGCTTTCCCTCTGGGGGACAGCAGTCCTCAACCTTCCTCCCAAACCTCTCTGGGAGCACACACTTGGCTCATGAAACGTTATCACTCGCTTGGTTCAATCACTTGCAGTATGTATTTGTAACGTCTTCATCTTGGCTGAGAAAGCACCTCACAGCAAGAAGCTCACAGCTGACTGAGCTCCTTGAGGATGGGGACGATTTCTTAAGGTTCATACATACTCTTCCCAGTTGTACTTCACCTTCCCCCAACCAGCTCCTCAGAACAAAGCAGAATGCTCACCCACCAAAGGCTCTCCATGTCGTGTCAATGATGTAATGAGTTAGTGAGTAGGTACTGACTGCTTTCTTGTCAAGAGCACCACAGTTGTTCCTGATCTTAATCTGGCAACTCAACCTGTTAGAGGTGGCAGGTGATGGGCCCCTGGCTGTGTAGACAGTTCCTGACACACTCTGCTCAGTCATCTTTACCCCAGAAACTAGCAACTATGTGGTGGCCTAGAAACATGTTTCCTCTCCTGTGAAACAAAGGGGAACGAAGCAGAAGATTTCTGAGGTATTTTCAGGCTCTAAAATCAGAGGATGCGCTTACAGGGATGACTCTGCTCAGAGCACAGAAGTTATTGTGAGCGCCCTGCCCCAGACAGGATTTACAGCCTCGCCTTTGACGAGGTTCCAGAGGGACGGTAGCAAGAGGAAGCTGACCGAGGGCCTTCACCGAACTTGCAGTCTCCCAGCCAGAGAAAGCAGATCGGCACCTTCAGCTTTTAAATTCCTTTTCTGATTTGGGTCCTCAGCAGGAGGAACCATGTGATACATAAAAACCTATTACATAAGTACTACGTGAGCATCAGATGGGATAAGAACAGCGAACCTAAAATTAATCACAGAGAACAAAGATGATTTTTTTTTTTCTCGAATGGTGACACGAGTTGGACAAGGGAGTGATGTGGGCAGAGAGTGCTGAGACTCCACTTAGAAAGCAGCTGCAGCAAGGAGCTTGGTATATGCAAGACTAAGAGCTCATTGTTTGCTGTGGGCCAGGAAAGTTCTCGTTTTCACCTGGAAGGAGTTTGAACAAGACAGTCCAAAGAATCCATTACTAGGTAAATTCTGAGAAACAAGGTTCCTCTTGTGAGCTTCAGGGGAGGAGCAGGTGGAGTTTCGGGTCAGTATCTGAGCCAAATTCTCCATGCTGGTCCTTGGAGAGCATGCACGGGCATGGTGCTGCGGTGCACCTGCTCTTCCTCACCTACTTGCTCTTGCAAACCTTGAGTTGATATTTGCTACAGGAATTGAGGAGGAGCATCCTTTCAAGATCTCGAAACTACCACTAAATAATTAAACACTGACTTAAAGTGAAGTATTAACAGGCCAAAATTGTTTCACCTGGGCATTAATAAAGTCTCCCTTAAGATCTGTTTCACATACTGATGGAAAATATGTAAGCTTTTTTCCTCTAGCTAATTCCTAATGCCTGTAGGAAGGGGAGAAGGTGATATTTATTGTCTACTAAACGTCAAGGACGGGGCTGGGTGGTGACACGAGTCATTTGATTCCGTCTGAGCCACCTCCCTTCCTAGGTGAGGTGGTTAATATTGTTCCCATCTGACAGATGAGGAAATTCAAGAAGTCGTTGAGTAGCCTGCCCAAGAAACAACAGTGGAAGCTCAAAGACATACAGCCAGTCCGTTCTGACTGCTCGTTCATGATCCTCTCATGCAGTTCGTCTAAATCAGAAAATGGTAAGAAGTCAGGCAATCCTCTATGTGGCCAAGCGCAAGCGCAGTTCTAAAAGCAGCAGTGAGGACTTGGATTATCAAAGGAACACACACTGGATGCCATAAGGTATTGCTAGCTGAGTAAGGTACCCAGGGGGTCATCCTCAAGGTAGCTCTGCTGACCCCCCAGATCAGACTTCCTATGCCACGTTTTAAAAATACAGATTCCTCAAACCGATGAAGTAGGCTTGGGATCTATGGATTTAGTATGCTCCTACATACTTATGCAACTACAGTTCAAGAACTAATTCCCTTTAGAATTCAGACACTATGGATAGATAAGCAAGTTACCACATTAGAGTGGGAAAAAAAAAAAAAAGTAGGCCACAGGCCCATCCTTTTCAGAAGTTATGCTAAAGCATACTAGGTCTCTTGATTATAAGGGAGAAGGCATTTTTGGATAAGAAAGTGCACTACAGTTTCTCTTGACACTTGAATTTTTTATAGCTAAGTAAGCAAGCCGTGCTGAGTAATGATGAGGGAAGCAGAGTATCATTTCACTTCTTGGCTTTTCCCTTTGTCTGAACAAATGTGCCAGTGCCAGCACTGGCACCAGCCACGAAGGTCAGACTTGGGGTCAGCATCTGCATTTTGCAAGCATTTCCCTTTGGAAATATATATATATATAAAACACTGTGAAGTCTTCCATGCCCAGGGATGACCTTTGTCTTCATCCACAGATCAGCAGAGACTCCATCACGTTCTCTTGCCTTTCCATCATTTAATAGCTTGGGCAGACACATATCAGAACAATCTACTTGTGAAGAAATGAGCTTTTCTTATTTGAGTATGACAAAACCGAAGACCAAAAAAAGACCCGGTGTTTATTTCACCCCATCTGATCAGTGTAAACAAAAGAATCTCTCTCCATTTTAAAGATTAATAAAGAAACTCATTTTATATAGCTGCCTCTGGCAGTCTGTTTTATTACCAACTGTAAGTTTGTTGTCTCAATTCTGCATTTTTGAGGCACACTGCATCACTTGCCATATAGAAGTGACATTAACTCTACACGCCTCTTATTTGCTAGCTGGCTCTGTTGCCAACTTTTACTCCATGGCTCCCTCTTTGAGAACCTCGAAGTGCCTACCTAGTGTCCTGAGAGGGAAATGCAGTAGCAACAGGTTTACATTCCTTGCCCAAAGTTATCAGCGAGTTATGGGCAGAAGTACAATGAGCCCTCAGGCTTCCCAATTCTTTGCCCTGGACCAAGCATTCAAAGATTTACCCTGGAAATTGGGCCAACATGGGTAGAATCTTTATGGCTCATCAATTTGTTGCAAAAGTAAGAACAGAACAATGAAAACCCAGATGCTGTATACTTTCTAGATAATGCGGGAATACAGATGGAGAGCCTGAAAAGGTGAATAGACTCCTCACAGTCAAAAAGCCAGAGTGGAGGGAGTCTGGGTAATCAGAATTATCACAAGGCTGACTGAGGAGCCTATCACAAGGCTGACTGAGGAGTTTCCCACTGTTTTTCATAGTCAAGTAAGGTAGGTTTGATATATCCTGGAAGTGCCAGTGCAGGCCAGAAAGCAAACATTTCATTTTGGATGCATTATATTTGAAATGTCTAATAGCTATCTCAGATGGTGAGGGTAGGGGATCCAACCTATTAAGGAAGTCTCCATAACCTTCAGTGCCCACAAGCAGAGGCCCTTACAGGCTGCAAGGGAAAGATCACAAAGTTCATCCTTCTTTTTTTTTTAATTTTTTTTTTTGGTAAGATTTATTTATTTATTTACACAAGAACTGGGGTACAGGCCAGATATGCGGGAGGGTGAGAGGATTCACCAGAGACAGAGCGGGGAACAGAACAGGCAGACTGACGAAATACACTGCTGAGGGGAGCAGCGGGCGAGACAGGAGAGGTCTGCCATGCCATGTGGGACTCTCGCCGGCTGGCCGGGATCGAACTGGCACTGCAGAGGCTGCGGACAGCTTCATAGCGCAGCTCTCAACCCGCTGAACCACCAGGGAGGCCCAAGTTCATCCTTCTAATCCAGCGCTATCCTCTTCTTGTCCAAGCTACCTTGATCTGGCGAACAGACCATGCAACTCCACCACCAAAAACATCTCTGGAGCAGGAGATGATCACAACTTACAACAGGGTACTCAGTCTGAGTTATAACTTGCCCGAGGTTATCTGAAATAGTGACAATCTCCCAGGCAACACATTCTCTTCCCAAGTACCCTTCTCTCTCTCAGCACCATCATTTCTAACTAGCCTTTGAAACTACACCCTGTTGATGGATATCAAAGTCCTTACATCTGCATCATCACTTCACTCTTACAAGTGCTCTATGAGGCAGGAAGAACAAGGACTGCCAATCCCATGCTACAAATGGGCAAATCAAGACTCAGAGGAACAGAATGATTCACCCAAGGTGACACAGCCAAGAAATAAGAGTTGGCAGTAAACTAATACAGTGCTCTTTACACCCAAACAACCTCCTAATCACTGACGCTTAGAAACTTGCTGTCATCCTTGAATCCACCCTCTCATCTTCTACTAAATTCTGTCTACCCACATTCTTAGTTATCCCTCCCCTCCTCACATGAATAGTGCCCACAACCCCCTTTTCTTCAATTGCTGAAAGCTTCCTACTCCTGGCCACTTTCTTCTCCAATGCAACCTGCCGAGTAGTCCAATGAACAAGAGGTAGTGTACTTCCTCATTACTCAAGTGTGGGCTGCAGTGGCGACTTCCTTCCAAAGGGGACAGTATGGGAAGAGAGGAATACAGGCTAACTTTACTGGGGACATTTCTAACAAACACAACCTCAGTCAAGTGACTGACATCAACAATGTCGTTAACATATAGCTGTGACAGTGCTAAAAGTCAGTTCTGTGCTTCTGTGACCAAGACTCCATAATCGTAATCATGAGAAAATTACAAATTTGAGGAACATTCTACAAAAACCTGACCTGTGCCCTTGAAAACTGTCAAAAAATATCAAAAACAGGGAGGAAAATTGTCTCATCAGAGCCAAGAGGAAGGAGACTAAGA